AAAAGTTATAAAAATCTCTATCATGTTATAGGGTCATTGTGTTAGAGTGGACTCTCCATATAAAAAATATTTGGTGATTTTGACTGAACAATGATTAAAAGAAGTGAGTGTATCATTGAGGCTGCTCACCCATGTTGACATGGTGGACCAGACCGTTACACCACTAATCACAATTTTGGTCTCGTGGGATCCATCAATCAAAACCAATCTCACGCCTAAATCAATATAAAGGAACAAGGATTATTTTTGCTTGCAAATTGATTTGACTAAAAATTAAATTAAAAAAAAAAATTGAATAACAATTGATGTAATGTGTGTACGGTAAAATTCTAGATCCCATGAAATATGAGATTGAAATGTGATTGAAAAAAAATGAGTTTAAAAAAATTGGGACAAACAAGTACTTAATCGAAAAACAAAAGAAAGAAATATATGGTAACACTTTTAGAAGCTAAATATTCGACCGAGCATTGGCGTGAAATTTAATTTTTAAAATTACGTAAGCCATCTATAAGAAAAAAATGTTTTAAAATTTGTATTGAATATATTGAAATTAATGGGCACTATTTATTTGTAAAGATTTTGAAGGTGCATTAAACATGGTCATCACTATCAAGTCAGACAAGTTGGTTCAATGATACAATTGAATGTGCAACATTAAAGAGAAGTTTGATTTGCATGTTTCAACTCAAATTTACACAGACGAGGGGCTGGGGACCTGTTGGAGAATTAACTGAACTCCACAAGGGACATTCTCTTCGCTCTAATACAAACATCAAAGAACATAACTCCAATAAAATAACTTAGGAGAAAACTATATATATATATATCTTAAGAAAATAAATTTTAAATCACGTGATTTGTTAGAATTTGGACGTGATCCGAATTCCTTGATAAAAACAATTGAGAATTTTAATTAAAGTACACATTAAGAAAAATTCTATTTGAAATGCTTTTGGAATCCTATTCAAAGTATTTTAACAAAATTCTACATGAAGTTCTATTTGAAAGTTCTATTAAAGAGTTGATATTTGTGTTGAACTTAAAGAAATCAAGATAAGAAAACTTTTAGACATTCTATTTCATCGACAACATTACTTCTAGGGCTTGGATTGTCCCTATATATATTTGACTTTTCTTCCAGTTTATGTAATTGCCGAAATTTTATTTTTCTCTCCATTGGTGATTAATTAATAAAATTACTCGATTCCTCTGCCAGTCTTTTCTTGCTTTAATCTTGCTCTTATTTGCGCGATCAATATTTCATATTCTGTCATACTTGTTTCTCCTTTTTATAACAAGTGGTATCAAAATTGTTCTACTTTCAATAAAATGATTTTTGATTTGGCAAGGTTCAAAACATGATTTATACAAAAAAAATATTTCATGGCAGTTTAATTAAAATATCTAATTTTGTAGATCTCATATAATAAAAATTATAGAATAATGTTATGCAGCCTCATTGGGGTTGCAACCCTAGCCTACGTGACGCTAGATGATAGGATGAATGAAATATGAAATTAAATGACTTATTGAATTTTATCCATCATTTAATGCAACATTAGCGTCACTTATACTGAGATTGTAACCTCAATGAAGTTAAATAGCATTACTCAAAATTATAATATTCACATTAAGAGTCCGTTTGATTGCAAGAATGAAATTTGGGTGGAAAGAAAACGAATTTTAGATAATCGAATTGCCTAGAACTTATTTTACTGAAAATTGTCAATTAAATGTGTTTGATTGGTATAATTTTTCACCTGAAAAAATGTTGAAATTCGTTTGCCTTTGTTTTTATGAAAATTATCAATTAAAGGGGATAGAATTTATTACAATTGTCATTAAAATTTGTTTTCATTGTAAAAAAAAATTTAAAAAAAAACTGAAAAACCCATTTCCCCATCATTGAAAGGAAAATCGATTCCTAATTTCTTTTGTGGACAACCAAGAACCTATTAACATTTTGATTATATCTCTTCTTGATAATCGGGCCAAACGGACAAATTCTAAATAGCAGCCATGAACAATCTGCATGGCACAGAGCAAGAGTTGAAAACTCGAAATTCGAAGTTGCGCCGCGTGGTAAATTGACAGATGAAAAAGAGAGCAAATCCTTACAATCATTACTGAAGCTGTAAAGTAGACCACTGTCCATAAGAATAATTAATTACATATTTTACCGATCAAAAAAAATTAATTACATATTTTAAATTTTTACTAGGTAGATAAGTAAACCGAATTTTGCTACGTGTTCATCAAATTTTACATAATGAGTTAGATAATATCACATGTCATGTTATCATTTATCAATTTAAAATAAAATCAACTTTTTCATCCAATCTTTTCTCTCTACATCATTTTATGTAATCATTTATATACATTTTTTTATGTACAAATATCATAATCTAAATAAATCTTGGTAACAACTTGGACTTTTTGCAGGGATGAAACTGAAAGGAAAAATAAAACAATTTTCATGTAACTACAATAGAAAATAAATTTATTATTTAAACTTTTAATTGAAATAAGGACCGAGCTCCACGTACAGGAGCTCGGTTTCACTGGGGACTATAGGGGTTGGGCCCCACATGCATTTAAAAAAAAGGTGGGGCCCACCCTCACCTCCTCTCTCACTTGACAAGGGCCTGTACCTCCATCTTTTTCCTTGAAATAATACTTTGTATTTTTCCATAATTCAAGATTAAACAGGCAATTGAATATTTTCGAGTTAATTGTTTCAATAGTCACCCAACTTATATCATGGTCATGGTTTATTCATGAAATTTCAAAGTACTTTATAGTTGCTCACTGAACTTTATCCATTTGCTCTCCATCCATCACCCTAAAAAATTTGTTATCTTATTTGTTGATGTGGCTAACAAAAATCTAATGTGTCAAGTTATGGCCGTTAAAAAATTACAAATCAACTAAATGATTGTTTCATCACTCATCCAACTTACATTAGGTCACACTTTACTCAAAGAACTTCAAAATGTTTCCCCATGATCACTCATCTTCGAGTGTTGGATTCCATCAATCATCTACATATTTCATTCCCTTTGATACTAATGTTCACATAGAAATTTCAAGCAGTAAGTTACAAATATTAAAAAAATTACAACTCAACAAAACTATCAACTTACTAGAATCATCATATGTGATACATGACTTCCATGCCCCATAATTTTATTTATTCTTTTTTTTTTAAACCCAATAAAGCTTCCTCAATGAGTCTTTTAGAAAGCATCACTTTTTCAATTTGAACGTTTATTGTGTGAATAAATAAGTTTTAATCTAAAGCTGAAAATTTGAAGTTTAACTTGCTTGATTGGAAATTGATTTCTGATTGCATCCAATTGATCGTATGCGATCTTTAATCCTAGTTTTGTACTTCAATTATACTTTATCTATATTTCACCGTTTTCTCATTTATTGTCTTCAATTTCATCGATTTTTATCTAACGAACACAATATATATAGATTTAGCCATAATTCAGTAAAATATCCAATAAATACTCTAATTTAAAAGGCCTAAATAAGTGTAAAATATTGCACTTATCACTAGGTTTTTTAGGGTTGAAATTAGGGACGTTTCATTGGGTTTTAAAGAAGTTTATGTGTGCGTGGAAGTCATGTTTCATATATGGTGATTTTTGTGTTCATAGTTTGATTGAGTTATAAATTTTTTTATGATTGTGCTTACCTGTGAAATTTTCGTACACTAAATTAGTAACAAAGTGAACGAAATATGGCGGATAATGAATTTAATGCAATATCTCAAAGACGAGTGATCATTGGGAAACATTTTGAAGTTCGATGAGTAAACTGTGACCCAATGTAAGTTGGATGAGTGATGAAACAATGATTTGAATAATATCTAATTTTCTAATGACCATCACTTGACACATCAGATTTTCGTTAGTCACGTCAACAAATAAGATAACGAATTTTTGAGGGTGATGAATGGAGAGCAAACAAGCAAAGTTCAATGAGTACTGTGAAGCACTTTGAAGTTTAATGAGCAAACAGTGATCATGGTATAAGTTGGGTGATTATTGAAACAATTAATTCAATATTTTCATATGGTGTAGATTGAAGTGCATGTTTGGCCAAGTTTAAATTGTAATTTAATTTAGTCAAAAAGCTAAGATTTTTCTTCAACACCTTTTGATGGAGTGTTAGAGTAAAATTAGTAGTAATTTTTTTTTTTTAAATAATATTGAGTTCCATGAAATGTATGCTTAATAAATGAGTAGTAATTGTGAAATGTGATTTAAATTAATGTTTAATTTTGACTAAATAGGAAAATTTACTTTTTAATAACTTTTAATTTTACACTAACATTTCAAGTGCATATACATTATTGAATACGATGGAACATCACAACAAATAAAATTTAAATTTAAATTTAAATTTTATTAGTAAAAATGACATCAATTTCTTTCGTGAAACGAAGACAATAATTTAAGGTAGGTTTGGAATAGCTTTACTTCTTTTTTTTTTAGAATATCTTTTTGGAGGAGCTTCCTTGATCAACTTCCTATAGAAGAAGCACTTTAATCGAACAAATCACTTTCAAAAAATATTTTGAAAAAATTCAAAAATATATTTTTTATTTTAAAAATATTTCAAATATCATGTTACACGTCAGAGATCCCTTTGATTTTTTAATTTTGATTAGAAGGAATATTATTTACAGTCGTCTATTACCGTAAATGCCTTACATGGCATATATATAGTGAGTTAGTGATTTGATGCATTAATATGATAGTTTTTTTTATTGTTTCATGCATCAAATTATTCAATATTATATGTATTTTACGTAGAACGATTACGATAGTGAACGATTACAAATAACATTATTCTTTTGATTAATTTCCAAACTTAAAAGCACCCTAATTCTCATTCCATACACGTCAGTCCACGTGTCCTCTCACTCTATCCCATCATTAAACCACCATACCCCAGCTTCAACCCACGAATCCCCATCCCCCAACTCAATTCCCCTAATAAATAATCCTGCATTTCCCTTCAAGTTTCTCACCTTTTTCTTGATTTTCATTTTCCAGTACTGGTGTTTCTCCAGAACTACACTCCCCTTACAATGGCATTGTTCTCCAAATTCTCACTCTTGTGCATGTTCATGATCTGGGCCACTTTCTGGACCGCAGCTCACTCCGCCGGCCACACGGCGCCGGCCCCCGCTGTCGACTGCTCTAGCTTGGTGCTCAACATGGCGGACTGCCTGTCATTTGTTACCGCTGGAAGCACCACCAAGAAGCCTGAAGGAACCTGTTGCTCTGGCCTCAAAACTGTGCTAAAAACCGACCCACAGTGTCTCTGCGAAGGCTTTAAAAACAGTGCACAATTTGGTGTCACTCTCAATGTTACTAAGGCCTTGGCTCTGCCCTCTGAATGCCATGTCTCTGCGCCCTCCGTTAGTAACTGTGGCCGTGAGTTTACTTTTTCTTCTATTTTTCTTGCTTTTGTTTTCATTTTTCTGCAATTTCTCATCATCTGTATTAACAAGGATTTTCTGTATTTTGTTTTTTGGTAAAGTGAGCATTGGCTCTGTCACTGGTGGTGCTCCAGGTACACACAGATCTCATCATATAATTTGACTATTTATATGTTTATATCTACTTTGATCTGATTTTATTTTATAAATTGTCACACAGTGCTAATGTAATATTTGTACAGGCATGTGTGGCTCGACTGCTCGAGCAATGAACTGAATTATAAAAAAATTTATGTACGTAGTCGAACTTAACTTTGTCGAACAGTCCTTAGTATTTTGTCGTGTCATCCACCAACTTCCTTAATTGGCGCCGGGGATATTTGGGTGGGGGGCTATTTTGTTATCCTTTTTGCTTTTGGTGCCTATTATCGTTTTTTCTTTCTTTCCCTTTTTTTTTTTTTTTTAAATTTATTTATGTGATTTTGGTGGTGTCTCACTGTCTCACTCCTTGTGCTGCTCAAGGATTTAAGTGGGCCAAAAATAGTCAAAGAGTCCTTGTGTTATTAGGCTGTTGTCTGTTTTCCATTTATTTTCGTAGGGCCCGTCTTTTAATGAATATGATTTTACCCTGCTTGGATTTCCAATTTGATGCATGAGTAATGTTATTTAGCATTATTGGTGTTACCGTTTAGATGGTTACTGCATAATATTAAATGATATGTTTACTTAAATGCAAACGTCACATGATTCATTTAATTGAACTTATCAAACGTGATAACTTAGACAAGTCGATATCTGCAGTCCAATTTCGCTATTCATCCAATTAGTTATTGACATATCATCAATAATTAACATGTTATCTCAAATTTACTTTTGTTAGCTTTACCACTAACTACTAAATTGATGTTTTGTCAAGAATTAATTGGATGGACGGTAGATCTCAACTTCACTTAGACTGGTGTTCTAGCAACAATGGTACTAGATAACATTATTCTTTGATGCTTAGTTTCACACTTTCACCTACACTATCTCATTGTAGAGTAACTTAGTGAGGTTACAATAATACCTTCACGAAAGTGTACATAAGGATGTCAACTAGTGGAACTTTGTTGTTTTTTTACTATTATTTTTAATTTAAAATTCCGGTTTTCAAACTATCGAAAATTCTGATATATAACAAAGTCAAACACGGACTTAGCCGATTTCAAATTATAATTTTTTCTCCCTTATTTTCAATCACATAATCTTTCATAAAATAATATTACACATAAATCGAAAGCTTTTCGTTCTTTTTCAACGACACATTTTCCAAAAAATACTATTCCTTTGAAATAATGGGGGTCAAATGGGGTCTTATTTTTTAGGATATTTGATGGTGATTTTATTGTTCCTGGGGGTTCAATTTTAATTATTGAGAATTTGTAAAGTCCATGAACCGAAGCATTGACTAGTAAAATCAACAACCCAAATTGTGTTAGGTAACTGAAGGTCATGTTGCAAAATTACACAATAATTTGTGCTATCAGCTAAATTATTTCCATTTACATACTAATATTAGATTAAGTTGCCTTTAAGCTTCTTTTCTTCGACTGAACATAATTCTTAAATGTATTTCAAAACTTACTTTTGTAAAAGAGTAACTACATGCTCCTATCATGGTAGAGTTTACATTCCTTTTTCTTTGCAGCTCTTTCTCCATTGCCATTGCCTCCTAGCTCAGTTGCTGGTGCTCCAAGTACCGGAATTGTTGCTAATGAAATTGCTCCTACACCGACTCTGGGAATATCTGGTTCTTGTGGACTCACCATCTCCTTGGGAGTACTTATCTTCACTATGGTACTGGCTTCTATCTTCTGATCATTTGATACTCAATTTTCAAATGAGAATGGATTTCAAGAGGGATTGTTATTATCTTTGTTTGATTTAACTATTCGGGTGTTCTATATTACTAGTCCTTTTGGATTTCAGACGTGAATAAATAGGATTGATGTTTAGATACATATATCGTTCTACTATTATTGAACAACTTAACTTGAATATTTATTTTACTCGTGGTTCTTCTAGTACTTGTTACTTAATTTAATGTGCAATATGTATGATATTGTCATAATACTGATTTGCTAAAAATATACGAAGGTTGGAAACCATTTATCAAGAAAATTAGAATGAAAATCTTGAACTCAGAGAAATATGTTGATTTGTTTAACAAAACGAACCATGTAGTAAGAGATTTAACAAGAAAATAAAACGCATTATTTTACATGTCCAAGTTTCTCAACATATAGGCCAACTTTACACTTTTGTTCATGAGTTCGATATTTCACCGTCTCTCAACTCGCATGGATTCCTCCTTGGAATGCAAATTCACACATGTAATTTTAGAAATAAAGTCAAGGCTCCATCTTGGGAGCCAAAGTTGTAATGGCATCTGCGACAGTGAGGAAGATTTTGTCGTCTCCAATCACGTTCGCAAAATCCGATGCATGGAGCTTGTCAAGCACAACTTGCCCTGGGTTTGCTAGAACGAGCTGTGTAGAAACAAACATCAGAATAATGTGTAGTGATATCAGAAATGAGAATTGACGAATTAGATATTCATGTCTTATTGTGTCGAGTCCAGTATACCGAACATATCCAAAGAAGTATAGTACACCTGTCTATCTAAAAATTAATGTGTAGTGCTCATATCAAAGTTGCTGAAATACCTGTATATCTCTCTTCTGTAGACTCTTGTATAGATCTTCCATGGCATGAATGCCACTGGTATCTATATCAGTTACAGCTGAAAAAAAAGGGATTTGGTAGTATGATTTTAGGTTCATTTGGGAGTCATAGGGAGAAAAATATGGAATATAGTGACACTAGAAATCCTTACGAGACATTTCGACAATCACATATTGGATTCTTGGTAGGTTATTTTCTTTCAGCTGTTCTTCTTCATCAGTTAGCCATCTCAAGATCCTGCAAGTATGTACCTCAATTAGCATTCGAATTCCTAGTCGAATCTTCCAATGAAGTATAGTTACATCGCTTTCTACAAGATTATACCTTTCCCTGATGTAATTTGAGTTGGAGAAGTAGATTGCAGAATCAACTCGAACAATCAGAACACCAGGAACCTTTATTGCTTCTGGATATTGTTGAATGTTCCTATAAACACTAGTCCTAGGAATTTTACCTAGTACTGCTGTTCTTGGTCTTGTCACTTGCAAGAGAATCTTCGCGAAAGATATAGCCACCTGGTGTATAAAACAGCTCAAGAAGTTAGATTGTCTGGCAAAACAAAGTTGAGATTCTTAGAAATTACTATCTTCCTACCGCGATCAGAAGGCCTATTTCCACTGAGCTGAAAACCACACCAAAGAAGGCTCCCATGCAAGCAACGAAATCAAATTTATCAATCTTCCATATAAGAATCATCGCATCTATGTCGACTAAGCCCACCACAGCTGATATAATGATGGAAGCCAATATGGCGTTTGGTGTGTATTTGAACAATGGGGTGATGACTTCTAGAGTTAGTAGTACAACGCAAGACATGATGATGTTTGACACAGCTGTGTTGCATCCGGCCATGTAGTTTACAGCAGAACGCGAGAACGACCCTGCAATATCAATGCAAAACAAAACAAAACAATTAGTGTATGTTTGTACGCAATACTGGACTCGATTATCCAATCCAATGTCTAACGATAGACAGAATAAGCATTCTAGTCCAACCTGTAGCCACATAACAAGATGTCATTGAGCCAATCACATTCATCGTCCCTAGTGCTACCATTTCTTTGTTTCCATCTAGATTATAGTCCTTCAAGGCTGCAAATGTCCGACCAATCGCTACAGCTTCCTGTAATTCAACGTCAATAAGGTTTGTCAGTTGTAACTGTACCAGAGTAAGTTTCTTTTTGAACCGAGATAAGTCAGTGTTTGCTCGAGTGTTTTTTATTTCATTTTGCTTAATTACTGTTTAATTTGTCAAATTTTTCTTACTGTCAACGCAACCATGCCTGCCACGGCCCCAATCCTGAAACCTTTTGCTAGATAGTCACCAGTGAAATAAATTTGATTCACAGAAGAAGGGTTGATGCCTCGATCAATTTCATTCACCTTCAAAGATCATGTAAAAAGTTGATATCAGAAAAGTCGTTTCAATGAAAGATAATACTATGATTTTATTCGCGATATGGATACTCACAATCTTGACACCCTTTTTATCAGCACGAGTGATATAGACGAAGAAGGTCGAAATGATGACTGAGACCAATGGAGCAATTGCTGGAATCCAGAACAATTTCTTGTTCTTTTTGCCCTGCTCGTGCAAATATTTTGTAGATAATAACGGATTTATCGCTTCATAAAGTAACTAAGAAAATTCAGAAGAATTATGATTCTTACAATGTACTTGGCAAGGAGAAGGAAAGCTAAGAAAATGACTCCTATTACGATAGTCTGCCAGTTCCACTACAACACATAGAGAAACAATTAGATTCACCATGAATACTGAAAGATCATCGCACAAGGAGGAGGTCGAGAACTTAATATTGAACCAAACAATTTAAGATCGAAACTATATGTACGTGTTCATGTATGTAAGAGGTTGTGTTAATAATCTCACCCCATGATGTACAACAGAAAACACAGAACGCATCACTGAAACTATATCAGTTTTCTTTGTGAATTTCTTTATCCCCAGTAGGCCTTTGAGCTGTTGAAGGCTGATAGTGATTGATGCTCCAGCCATAAATCCAACGATGGCAGCATGAGAAAGAAAGTCAATCAAGAATCCCAATCTAAAAACAAAGGCAGTCGGAGAAATGAGAAATCGTTTGTGTTTGGAGCTAGTTCTTAAGAGCAAAAGTTCGAAAAATTGGAAATACCTGAAAAAACCAAGTACAAACTGAGTAACTCCAGCAAAAAATGTGGCTGTAAATGCAAGGCGCTGATATTCTATTTTGTTCTTGGGGTCGATCTCATCTTGAAGCATGCTCCCGAGCAATAGAGACACCACGGCTACTGGTCCAATGGCAATATCTCTTGAACTACCCATGAAGGCGTATATCAAGGGTGGAACAAAACTACTATCTGCAATTACAGAAAAAGTCAAGCTTCCTATGCAAGTCCTGGAACTTGTGCTTAGTAATAGTATATTTATTAGGCTTTTACTGAAATCAAGAAGCGAAGTTTTTGTTGAGGAGAATTTTTTAACTTACACAGCCCGAACTGGGGATCCAAATTTGCAAGGTTTGAATATCCAATATCCTGCAATGTAAAGCCAGGAAAAATTAGAACTGGCAAGTGAGAGAGCTAGCTGTTAGGCTCAGTCGAGCCTAATCCTGCAGTTACAACTTGCCCTAGTGTGTGTATGTGTTTGCTTTCCTTTTCTGATTTCATTTGGTTTATTATTACTCTCGTAGGAAGAGATTAGGTCTTAATCCGTAACATGCACCGACAACATTAGTATATAAAGTTTCTTGGGAATTTGATTACCTGAGGAATACACAGACTTGCAATGGTAAGTCCAGCGATCAGATCACCTTTAAACTTGGAGAGATTATAATGTCTTCCCCAATCCAATATAGGAAAAATGGCTTGAATGCCAAGCTTCAACTTTCGCGTTCTCGATTGGTCTTTAAACGGGCGTAATGGATCATCATGCAAGAATGTCTCCTTCAAAGTATATGTAATCTCCTTTAACAGACTCTGCTTGGGAGGAACTCCCACCTTGTGAACATATGGCAAGTTCTCAGCATGGCGACGAGAAGAAGCAGCACTAGTTATGTCTTCCGTGTTTGTAACACGGTTGCTAGTCATTTTGGCCCAATATCACCTACACAATAAAATAATAATGATCAAATTTCCTTTTGAATTTTTGAGTCGACTACATGAATCCTTCTTGGGATTAACATAAACGATACAAGGTAAATACTTCGAAAGAGTATGGGGCGGTGACTTGAGAGAGCTAGGATCACCACTCACCAGGAAAGCCTATGCTGAAAGATCTACAAGATATTCTATAAAAAAGACTAGAGAACCTTTATCTTATACACATACACATAAGCTGCTCTAAGTAGACTTTAGAACTAAAGTATTAAAATACACACAAGGGCCATTTCATCATATACAGAAATGAATCTAGATCGTTTTTCAATCACATTCATATTCTTAGAGAATAATTTTGGATAATCCTACTTAATTAATGAGATTTGGCATATAATTAACAATAATTGAACAAAAATAATTACTTATTCCAAAATAAATAGGCGATGAGTTGACTTTAATACTTATTGGCCACTTTGTCTATAAATTTAGTATGTTATCTTTGTGTCAAAGGCTTGTAATGTCCTCTAATAATGGTCCATAGTTGATGTTATAAAGGAGGGGTGTGGAATTACGGTCTCCATTCGCGGCGGACAGCCATTGGAAGTGCATTTACTTTTCTTATTCAAGAAAGTTCAGTACAATCATAATTATGGAAGTGAAATATGATAAAAGTTAAAAGTAATGCTATGTAACCCACTGGGATTGTAACCTTAGTCTAAATGATGTTGGATGATAGGCTAAATAAAATTCCACTTATCACTGAATGTTACATTAGCCACCTAAACTAGGGTTACAATCCCAATGAAACTAAATAATATTACTCAAATAGATGTTCAGTTTGCCTTTTGTTTACTAGTCGTTTACTAGTCATATTTGTAGGATAACATGAATTTGAGGTCGACTACAAAGACTTGCTCTTAAAAAACTTAGGGTCGATCATATTGAAATATTTTTGTCGTTTTGTTCGGTTTATTAGATCTATACAAATTTTAGCTAAAATATTTCATGTCAGTTTTGATGAATTCCTCCCTCTTTTGATTTGTTTATGAACGAGATTATCTTTAAGTCTATACAAAATATGTCACAGTGGGGTCTAAAAATCTTGTGGGTTCACAGTGCTTTACAACAAACATGTGACATGAGAGAAAAGTTGCTTTATGCATGTATAACTTTTGATTCACATTAATTAAAATCAATATTAGCTAAATAATCTCGATGAATGTATAATTAGTAGTATTATTACAAATTTACAATAAACTAGATGTTAACTTATTCAATATGTCTTAGCTCCCGTTTGGCAAGTTTATAAGGTTTATAAAGACAAATAATGGTGGATCCCATGAAAAGTGTGAATGATAATGAGTAATGCTATTTATCACGACTGATATTAAGTACCAATTTAGGCGACAATTACAATTACATATCATTACATGATGGATTTATTTAAGAATAATGCTACCTAGTTCCAGTGATACTATAGCACCAGTTTAGGTATTTATACTTTATAGGTTCAATTAAGTTCTTGTTTGGGATCTATTAAATTCTTAAAACATTTTATTTTTTCTTCTTTTCAACAACACATTCTTTAATAAAATAATATTACATGTAAATTCAAAACATTTTTCTTTTCTTTTTTAATTACACATTTTCAAGATCTCATAAAATGGAGCACAAACAAGGAAAATGACTCATGAAACTTTGAATTTAAATGAATCTATAATTTAATACTATGCAATTGCCACTTAGATTGGTGCTCAACACCAGTGATAATGAAGAATTCATTTAAATACAAAATCAAATAACTTATTTAATTAAATCTACAAAATATAGCCACATCTAAACTGAACTTTAATTATGCGTGGTTGAATCCTTATAGATTTTATCCAAACAGAGGCTTTGTTTCTAGAGGTCCAATAACATACAATTCTAAATTAGCTTTTCAAAATAAAACCTCCGGCCACATCCCTAAAGACATTGACAAATTAATCAAGTACTAGGAAGGAAGAAACAACATGGACAATCCAAATAATTAAGCATGAACACAATTTTAGAAATAATTATGGCAAAAGAAAAATAAATTCGAACATGTTAGATTTGTTTATACATCTTCCATCGTATGTTATTCAAGTTTTTCTTGATCAATTATGCTTTTTTTCTAAATTAATAATTGCATTTATCAAAGAGAAAAAACTTTTATTATTAAGCATTAACATAAGTTCACTTAAGAACATCAAACTTGAAATTTAATGACTCACTTGAACTTTCGAAGGATCAAAATACTCGTTTGGCCTTTTAAACCACATCGAATCTTAACATTTGCGTGCGGATCCACACACTCATATATTCATTTTTATATATTATGCTCTCGTTTGGCTCCCATTATTTTAAATTTTAATGGGTAAAATAATATTTTTTTAAAAAATGGTGATTGAAAAAGAAGAAAATGTTTTCGATTTACGCACAGACCCACACACTTATATATTCATTCTTAGATATTATATAGTATATATACCCATAAAGGAATTGAGTAATAAAATTCAAGAATGACCTTTTGGAACCTAAAGAGCTAACCTTTTGATGAAACCCTAATATTTTAATCAGGTCAATGAAAGGCTTTGCATGGATGACAACCCAACTGCCTCACTGCATCATCTTGATCTGTAAAAAAACATATACAATATATGAATCTATACATATGCAAGGTTTCTCAAATAAAACCCAGTCGAAATAATAATAAATCCAACGTGTAATTTACAGATAATCTTATCTTGCACGACCTGGACAACTAAAAAATAGGATCCCAGAAGTATATATATAAGAAACTGTGTCCAGGTTCAATGAATTTGAATGCGTTGAAATTTTCACTGTTCTGGTTTTTTAGGTTAGGAAGTTGAAAGCTAGCATGAATAGGAAAGAAGGGGATCAAATTCTTCTCAGTTCAGTTCTCCATTTTAGAGAGAGAAATAGATAGAAATGGAAAGAGAAAATATACACACACACACACACGCATTTGGTGAATCAATGATAATTGTAATGCCCGGACACTATAGTATTATTGAGGAGGATTATACGATTCAGTACAAGATAACAAGAAAAGGTTATGGAATTTCTTGTAATCTATAGTAAGTGGGAGCCTCTAAGAAATAGACATAAATTCAATTTATTTAAATTATTTATCGCATCTCAAATTATTAACGAGTGCACAATTTTTCGTATGTACTCATGAAGAGAACTAAGGGTACGTTCAATTACATTTATTTTTCATATAAAATATCAGTTTTCCATCCAAATTTTTACTTAGAGTGTTTGATTGTTATTTTTTTTCATGGAAAATATTTTCCAACTTTTGAAAATATGCATAATTTTTCTTGGGTAAATGTGGTTTTTACTTTCCACAAAAGATGAAAAATATTTTCTTTTCTAGGTGATATTTTTCATGCCAATCAATGTGGCTTATTTTTGTTGAACTAATTAATTTAAAACTAGTATCTAGAACAAGTTTATTGATTTAAATTATGTTTACAAGAATAACGTTTTCTTGTCGAGTGGTTGAGATTATTTTCTTGTTAGTCTATAGTCATGTAACAAAATTGATTAATGATCATGTCCAATTATATTTATTTCAATGTATTTAGTTTAAAAAGGTTCGAATTTCACGAAATTACAAATGTAGACATAAGAACAGAGATCGCATTAAAGTTGGAGTCCTCCAAACTTAAAATTAATCCGGGTTCTAATCAACAAGTGTGAAAACAAAAATCACAAAATGTGGATAAAAAAATAAGAAAAATGGCTGGGATTTAATTAAAGTTCTTTGTCAATGAGCAACTTGTCTTCATCGAATTATTCTATAGCTGCCGGTCGATGGACTAAAGGTAATAATTTGCACTCATGTATATAAATAACTATGGATTGCGATATTTAATTTGTTACTGATCAAAGTTGAACGTGTATTGTACGTTATTTTAAAATATTTTATAAGTGTTGTAAAAATAATATTTAATATCAATTTGTTGGGAGAATTTGTTAAGTCTCGAAAAAGCTAAATAAATAAAATTTAGGATAGAAATTTAAGAGAAGAAAATTGTACTGTCAAAATTCAACTTCTATGATTTATTTATTTTTGATAATTAGTAACAAAAAATTCATACATGATAAAATTTTTGTAGTATTTATTATATATTGAAAAAATAAAAAGTAAGATATTATTGAAATAACTGAATTGTGATAAGTTAAAATCGTCCAGAAAATTATGATCACTTAATATGTTAAGTTATGGTTAACATGTTGGTTGGGGTTTTATCTCAAGTTTTGCTACAACAACACAGCCTCCCTATTATTTTAGCGACACTCTTTATCTCAAGGGAGTGGTGCTTATCTTACCATTATAAACTTCATTTTTTTTTTCAAAAATAAACCAAACTTCATTTGACTATGAAACCGACAAAATTATTATATTGGATGTTGAGATTTTTCTTATCTTTTAACGTGGAAGTTTTTCCACAAACGTAGGTTTCATTCTTCTAATAATCCAAAAGAAATAATTAGCTTTTGGAGACTTCATTTTCCATCAATACTCCACCTTTTTAGTAGAATGCACATATTTTCTAAATAAAATAAAAATAGTTTAAACTATGCATAACTTGAAAGTGTAAATCTTAGACAGTCGTATGAAATATGGCCAGAATCTGTGTTTCCAGAAGAATATATATATATATATATATATCATACAAGCCCTCCATCCAACGGTGAGAAATATGATAGGCGTCTCAATCCAGTGAAGTCTCTCTAATAAAAACATGTTTGGTAAATGCGTTTTAACTTCTGAAAATATGGGGGCATAAAGCCGAGTTCGACTCCTAACAAGATGTATAGAAGTTTTCAAGCAATGGGACTATATTTTCTTGACCCTCACACTAGCTCCATTCTGGATATTAGATAAATCATTCTTTATCATCCTGGTAGATTCCTTTGCATGAATGAATTTAGTGTTGTGGTCCCACTGTTTGAGCCATTCAGCTCGTGACTGTTGTGTCCAATACATTTCCTTTTGCTCAAACAAGACTTCAATGTCGTGTTCCAACCCTTTTATAGCAGCCTTAGCTCGATGCTTATAAATTCATTATTACAAGTGCTTAATATATCTCTTAAAGATATTTTACAACTTTTGGTCTACGTTATTCTAAATTATTTTATAAATGTTGTAAAAAATAATATTTAATACCAATTGTTGAGAAGATTTGATGAGTCTTAAACGAATTAAAGAAAATAAAATTTAGAATAGAAATTTAAGACTATAAAAATTGTATCCTCAAAACTCAATTACTATGATTTAATTTTTTGCGATGATGAAGTATTAAAAATAAGCAACGTTTTTATACTACATGTGGTACATAAGAATTAATTGCTACTACATGAATTTAAACACATATTAAAATTTCTATATACATGAATACAAATAAATTTATCTACATTAACTCTAGTTTATACGTGTCAAGATTCATTGAATCTCGATTAATGTTAACTAACTGAGAATTAACAACACGAAAGTACTTATTACATATTAAAAATGAAAAGTAAGGTATTATTAAAATAATTGGATTGTAATAGGGGTAAAATCGTCCAAAAATGATTTCCACTTGATATGATATTTAATATATTATAGATTAGTTAAAGGGTGATCTTATTTTATTTTACATTTGAAATTCGAAAATTAATGCTAAGTAAAGCATCAAATGAAAAGAGGGAGGGGTATTGATATAACGTTATTATTTTATAATAAATTTTTGTTTCAATTATTTGATAAAATACATATGTAGTTAGCAAATTTTAAAATTTATCAATAAACTAATTCGACTCTTTCGACCCCGTAAAACTTGCGGCCTCATCAGCTTGGAACAAAGCTTTGACGCTCAAGTCAACGAATGAAGAGGCAAATCTAAATTAAAAAATAGGATCGAGGTAGCTAGATAAACATAATAGTTGATCTAGGGGAGGATCGAACACACACACCTCGAGGTGGGACATTATTTAATTCACATGGGACTCGTGCACTTTGTGAGGATCGATCACCCCAGGTGTCAAATATTTTTGGGCAAAGTGGCGTTTTCCTAAAAAATATATACGGCTCTTATTCTTCAATAAAAAATAACTTAATAAAATTTTAATTAATATTTTTATTTAATTTATTTACAGTTTAATGCTTAACGCTACTATTGCCATATAATTTTACAGTATTTGAGATATTCTTTAGCTCTAAATTTATTAAATTATTCATATTACTCACTAATTTATTACTTTTTATGATTTAATAATAAATCAGAACATAAACAAAATCTATCAATTCAAGTTTTGTACTCGATAATGAATTCTTTATATTATTGAAATAATGATTAATAGTTTTTTTCGTACTGTTGAATTTGTGAGTGTATCTGAATAATTTCATAAGGTCAACAAGAAAATTAATAACTTATCAATTTTATTGGGAGTTATTCCTTAAAAAATAAATTACAAAAGTAAAAAAGTAACTTGTAAAATTAGGCAAACATATATAACGTAGATGTTTATATAGTATGTGTTATTAACACAGTATATGAGAATAAATAATTAATTTTTTTTTTCTTTAATCAAGTTTATTGTTGTTCAGTTAAAAAGATCCATTGAGATAAATCGCATATAATAAAAGAGTTTTTCGTCCAAGGAACTCGAAACTTGATTGTTTGGTTAGGATTAAAATTTAAATTTAATCTAAGTCAAAATTAATAATTAATTTTAAGTATCTCATGGAATCCATAACTTTTTAACAACACATTTCATCAATTTTTTAAAAATCAAAATCTACTAAAAATTTAATTTTAATCCCCACCAAATTGGGCTATATATATAGAATAATTTAGCTATTAATATCTAAATATAAATATCAATTGAAAAATGAAGGAAAAACAATAAATGATTGTTGAGAAAAGAAAAATAAAGAGTTTGTTGGAATGTATAAAATATTATACTCTTTAAATTTAAATATTTTCTTATTATGTCAAAATAATCTTTAAAAATAAAGAGTCTCTGACTCCATATTTTTCTTATTTAATATTAGGTTATTAATTAAATAACTTATAAGCTTTCAAACCTATTTATTGATGTTTTCGGCTAGTGTTTAAAATTTTATTTATTATTCATAGAACTTTGTATCTTGTTTCATTTTACTCACTTTGCTTTGAGACGTTTCTGGATGATCATTGAACTTACATAAAATGCTATCTCTCCATCACTCGTTAAATGACCTGTTGCCTCGGGGTCCACATGGGGCCAATCCATGAGAGGGGTCAATAAGATCCTTGTGAAATGAAACTCTGTACACAAGGCTTTATTCAATTCGAAATGGCAACTTGACAATGTTAGATATCCTAGTCACTGTATTTGAAGCTGTCACATAAGAAAACAAAAAACAAAAACTTAAGTCACCTCCATTCAAATCAAAAATTAGAAATTCAGCACTTGTCCGGCCTGATTTAAATTTATATTTAGACCGTTGATTTTTATATATTTTTTAATTGGAAAAATGTCTAACAAATATTCAGATCACAGTCGCACATTTACACCCCACTGTCCAAATTTGCCCTCAATAGTTCACACCTCAACCACGGACTTCCATTCTTATCTCCACCTACCTTCTCGTCCTACAGTCTTCACACACCCTCGAATCTAATTAACTCAACCCGCCGTGGTTTGAGGTTTCCCGATCCGGCCCTGTTGGTAAAGCCTCCATTTGCCGGTTCCTTGACCACATCACAGCAAAAACCTTTCATCTGAACGCGGTCGAGCGTCGTCGACGAGAGTACAAAACCGAAGTCAGTAGTCGAAACACTTGGTCTGCCCCTTCAACACCACGCAAGCACCATGGATTCGTTTTTCCCTGCGGTAGGTATTCACAATTTCTTCATTTTCCGTGGAAGTCCTCAGACATGATTTGTTAGAACGTGGTCTCCGATTATGACATCGATTTTTCGT